TTTAGGTGCGGTCGTTCGACCATTGCGTTTATCTCAACTAGCCTTTCAAAAATAACGCCGTTCAATTTACGACGACATCACGTTGCTGGCGTTTGTTCGAAACTCCAGAAATGACGTCATGATATAACAGTGTTTCATCGTTTTTTTATTATTTCTCTTCTCTTTATCATGTAGCTTTCTTATATTTCTTATGTTTTGAATTCGGCGCTGGAATGTACCTGAGGGATGTAACGACAGATCAAAATACCGTGATGGATTAACCGATATGTTTCATCGATATCTGGAATATCAACTGCTAACATCGATACAAACTTATCGTCAGAACTTATACCAAGAGCAGCCAATGCCTGTTGTAAGAGGCGACTAAATGGGTCGGGTAGTCAGGCCTGGTGACTTGGTTGATTGCATATCATCGTATCCCAAATACGTGGGTCGATATTCATGATGTCAATCACTGGCTTGTTTGAATCAGACGCGATTATTTACATACCGCCTTCATATAACTGTAACATGACCCTGTGCTGCGTAAAAAAACAACAAACACACGTATGTATTGGCACATTTTGAATCATTTAATTACTTGGCTTTCCAGACAACACCATGAGGCTCGCGAGCTGGCTGCACGTGATTGGTCTGTTATTCCTTTGTGATCTCACACACGGAGGTCGTGTACACACGTTGAGACTGACACACAAGGGTGCTAGAGACATGTCCATGTCTATCATGGACCCAAGGCTACAATGTGGTCGATCGTGTGTGACGTTATCCCACTGTCAAGGGATCCTGTATGATGGCCACGTCTGTCGACAGATACTCAAACACAAAGATGTCAGAGAAGACAAAGATTCTGAATATTGGACAGTCGTGAACAAAGGTATTAATAGTACCTTCATAGTTTATAAAGTGCAATGGGAAACAATTTGTTTCTGACTCAGCTTTGACCTTTAAAGCTGAAGTAAAAACAGATAATCTGATTGACAAAGTGTTTTACCATGAATTCTGAAACAAATTGCTTCTGTTTGGTCAATCAGAGGATTCAAATCACAATAATTGACTTTGAATGCTCTCATATTATGTTGACAGTTAAAGCACGTAACGCTATTTGTATCTGTAACATTGTTCTACCAGCTGCCCGTGCACCCCTAATAGTGAGACAGCCAAGATGTAATGGTCACATCACACAATTGTAATCCATAAACACATGTTTTATTGCAGAGGAAAAAGAGTTCAAGGGAGATCGTGTACAGATACCCAGTTGTGAGTTCTGTTTTAGAATCAGGAAATATGCATAGTTAATTTAGTGATTGAGACTAATGTTTAAACACGTTTAAATATGATCCCATAACTGTCATTAAAAAGCGAAACGTTTGTGAAATGTTTAACACTTGCAACGTTTGTCATTTGGTGATGGGTAAGATAGCTGCTCAGTGTTTCTGGTAGAATATTATCTTCCCTGTTTCCTTTCAGTTACAAGAACTATGAGGATAAGGAGAGTGCACCTTCCAAACATCAAAATTGGTGAGGCTTTGAAAAAATGTCACTGCGATTTATTATTCATGTTTATTAAATGGTAAATTCAATATTGCTGCAGATTAATATACACTTAATAATTTTATAACGCATATTATAAGGCAGTCATCAAATGAATTGTATTTAAGGGATTTTGTAAACTGAAGATGTGTATATGTATTTAGGTTTTGAGCTGCAGGACAATGTCCAAATTACATTGACCTCATATCCGCTCATTTGAACACTTGAGAATAAACATCCCTATCGTACATTTATACTGGGACACAATCATTCCTATTCATACATGATGCTCATATCCGCTCATTTGAACACTTGAGAATAAACATCCCTATCGTAATTTATACTGGGACACAATCATTCCTATTCATTCATGATGCTCATATCCGCTCATTTGAACACTTGAGAATAAACATCCCTATCGTACGTTTATACTGGGACACAATCCTTTCTATTCATACATGATACTCATATCCGCTCATTTGAACACTTGAGAATAAACACCCCTATCGTACATTTACACTGGGACACTATCCTTCCTATTCATACATGATACTTATATCCGCTCATTTGAACACTTGAGAATAAACATCCCTAACGTACATTTACACTGGGACACAATCATTCCTATTCATACATGATCCAAGTGGGTGTTGCTGAGTGAGACGGGGACATGGCAAGTGTTCTCAAATATCGGAAACGAGGTTGGGAGATGCCTTTGTCCCTGTATCTCTGCTTTCAGTCTGCACTTGAAGAATCGTGTTTTCATTCCAGATCGAGGAAGGAAGTAGCAGCATGTACCCTGGTCACAGTGTCAACACTTTCACGTAATCATAGTTCGACATTCTTCTGAAGCAGGCTCTCCCAAGGTTATCCCTGTCTGACACTGCGTGTAGATAGTAGATTGGAGTAGTGGCACTGGTGAAGTAGTCGTTCTAAATAAATACAAAATCGTGTACTTCCCGAGCGTGAGCGACGGTTATACATGAATTATTGTATGACTTTTCTCAAACGATTAGACACACATGCTTTCTTTATTACCTGCTATTTCTGAATCTGTCGGAGCTTCCCTTTAGAGGAAATTCACTGATCACGACCGTCGTCACCAGCGTCACCAACTCCAACAGTACACTGATACGCCTGAAGTACTTGTGTTCATGTTTTTTTGATAATGCTCATTCTTATAAATTCAGTAAAATCTACTTTATTTTGGTTTTCAATGTCAGCAAATTCTGAAGTTTGACAGTACAGTAGCTATCACGTACGACATATATGTGAGTGGGTGAGTGACATTGGGTACGACTATATGTGAGTGAGTGAGTATGTGAGTGAGTGACACTATGCTGCTTTTGCATATATTCAAGCATAACGCGGTTGTCTGTAAATAATCAGGAGCGGATGGTGATACACTGCATGCCAAGACATTCGTGACGTCTGGCATGGTGGCACACAATCAACCAGGTCTCACTTTATGCCCCAACGCTATCACATTGTCCGGGTCTTTCCAACACACCCGTTGAGGACCGCCATCGGTGGTAATTGATTACAAATAGAATATTCCACAAATTTTAGCAATATGAAAATGTATTTTTATGTTTCTTACTTAGGTGTTTTTAGAAATTAGATACGTTCATTATGGTTGAGAGTTTGTTGTTTTGACGGTATCTATTTTATAAGGTTAGGCCATGTACAGTAGTAGTCTTTTAAGGATTTTATGTTCCTTTTTATAGCGTGGGCATATAAAGAAATAATTAAATTCACTTAATTGAATTGTGAATTACAAAAAGTACACACTCTCTGTCCCCGTACTCTCTGTCCCTCTGGTTGTACGTCAGTGCTAAATGGTAATCTTATTATTGATCTGATCACAAAGCAATCTCAGCTCAAAGATGATCGTAGCTTCCATACTTTAACATAAGTTTATGATAGTCGAATCAACAGTCCTTGGCGAGCACTCAGATCTCCCTCTTCCAAAATGGTATGATCAAGATCAAGAAAGCCGAACCATTTTGATTCATTATCATACATACCAGTCGTGATAAACTAACGCCAATATTGCTTTATTACGTTCAGATGTCCATATCATTAAGAAACAATATTTTGGAGATAACTAGCTGACAAGACTTCATCCGCAAAGCGTAGTTTGACACAAGTTTGCACATCGCTTTTTCGAATCATACCTCATTGAACAGATACAAATACACATTCACTCCTCAAAATTAAATTCGCAGAGAGAAATATATACTGGGGCTTGACATGAATCAAGTGATTGTTTAATTTATGCACAGAATTAAGTACTCCCACAAACCCTGCAGCCAATAGGCAATGTGTAGCACGTGTGCTGTTTCATTCCTTCTTTGCCTTCTGCATGGAAGGGTAGTTTGCACACTGAATATACATGAATTTCGCTAAAAAGTCATGTGCATGATGACACAGGTGAGGAGAAGGGAATTGTCTCGACCGTAATTGGGATTCCCCGACATTCGGTAGTGGTGAAAGCAGTCCGCTTCAGCGGGCGTGGCTTATTTTTTACATGCATTTGGAAAAGGACGCAATAACACGTGATCAGTTTAGCTGATCAGAATGCAGGAATTACAATGAGCACAAGGGAGTTTATTCATTACAAATCATTACAAATCTAACAAACAGAAAGAGGCAGTTGTCGTACATAACACGACTTGTTATTCCAGCAAAGTACAGTTAGTATTCAACAGGGTCATCAATTCCACGAGGTCCTGATTTACGGACGTTGTCGTTGGTTACTCTGCAGGTTTAATGACTTTTGGTTTGGACTTCCGTTGGTTTGACAAAATGAACAGACTCGGACCGTAACTGTTTCCCCTTAAGACGTTTGAGAGAAACTATGCTTCTCGACTCAATGCACTCCAGAGGGAAGGTCGTTTACTCCACTGTCCGTTGTGTGTGCCGAAATGAAAAACATGTACAGATCAAAATAATATCTGTATTTGGTGGAATTTATTCATTTTTGTTGATCAATTGCACAGAAAACGTTGTGTTACCTTTGGTCTTCTTCTTTGTGTTTCCTGTTCATTGATGTACACAAATATTAGTGTCAGCATTGGAATCATTAGCAAATCCTTCTGAAGAAGTGTTATTGATCGGAGAGACAAAATGACATTGAGTGGCAAATTGAGATAAGGGAATAACAGAGCTGGGCAAATTGGGGTTTGACGAATAGGACCACTTGACAATGTGTCCTTCATATGTAGCGTGACACTTCCATTTCATGTGACTTCCGTTTTAAGGAAAAACTCCTGAATGTATTAGGGGTTAGATAATCCGAATAATGAGACGTTTATAAAAGAATGCACTGTTAGCTAAGTCGTTACGGCAACCAAAAGAGCACAGCATTTTTAGCGGACCAATGCACATGTGAAACTTATGAACAGTTATAACACTCGATCACCAAGCATGTGTGTTAAATTGATATAACCGATATCTAAAACGTTATAATATATATCATTATATAGTTAGACACATTGCTATCATCAAACTGTCCCAGAGAGAATGTTACAATCAACACACGTCTTCATTCCATTATTGAATAAATCGAACAGTTCTAACGTTCTAACTGTCCTCCCATTTATTCTATTGTCCTTCGTCCGCCACATTCGTTCTTCATCCATTTACAATAAACTTCATACACTGCCCGTACACGTATCATAATATACATTACCCCCTTGTACTACACCTATTGTAACACACCTGCCATCATTTGATATACTCCATACACTGCCCGTACACGTATCATGACACAAGTTACCCCCTTATACTACAATATATTATACAGCACCTTCCATCACTTGATATACTCCATACACTGCCCGTACACGTATCATGACACAAGTTACCCCTTATACTACAATAATAATACAGCACCTGCCATCATTTGATATACTCTATACACTGCCCGTACGCGTATCATGACACAAGTTACCCCTTATACTAGAATATATCATAAAGCACCTTCCATCACTTTACATACTCCATACACTGCCCGTACACGTATCATGACACAAGTTACCCCTTATACTACAATATATTATACAGCACCTTCCATCACTTGATATACTCCATACACTGCCCGTACACGTATCATGACACAAGTTACCCCATTATACTACAATATATTATACAGCACCTGCCATCACTTGATATACTCCATACACTGCCCGTACACGTATCATGACACAAGTTACCCCTTATACTAGAATATATCATAAAGCACCTTCCATCACGTTATATACTCCATACACTGCCCGTACACGTATCATGACACAAGTTACCCCCTTATACTACAATATATTATAAAGCACCCTCCATCACGTTATATACTCCTTACACTGTCCGTACGCGTATCATGACACAAGTTACCCCTTATACTACAATATATTATACAGCACCCTCCATCACGTTATATACTCCATACACTGTCCGTACACGTATCATGACACAAGTTACCCCCTTATACTAGAATATATCATAAAGCACCCTCCATCACTTGATATACTTTCAGTCAACAATACACATCATCACCAGCATGAGAGCCCTTAACACAATCTTAAAATATCAACAACGTACAGAAAAGACACCAAAGACAAAGCAGTAAAGTACATGGGATTTAAACTAGTTGTTCAGAATAGATGGCAAAGCAGGCATCTGTCTTCAGCTGATATGGATTGTAAATAACCAGGAAGAATCCATCAATGGACACTAATCCTCACAGCTCTGTTTGGTGACATCGCAGCTCTTGGTGTTCACGTCAACAGAATCTGGAGAAAAGTTAACGAAAGTATTAACACCATCAATATCATTTGTGTTTGAGTGAACATTTATTTTATGAACACAGTTGGTTAGGTATGTGACAACTGCTCCATGTCCAAACGCCCTGCATCGCTGGAGAAATCAACATATGTCGCATGTATAGAAATAGAAATGTACACACTTACATACACGTAGTGAAAACATTTATGCTGTTTACGTTTGGGAATTGGGAACAGTGAAGTATATTTTGTTCACATTGTCTTCATCAGTGATCAGTGTTAAAATACTGACACAAACCTATTTTAAATATTCTCCTCCATCCATTGTCTAAACATCATTAATCCTATTGTGACTTTGTTTTGTAATTTAATACCAGTGGTAACAAACATACGTACGGCCATATTTTTGCTGGTTTCCATGTCTTCCGAAAGGAAATAGTTTCTAGTATTTGACGCACTTCAATAGATAATGGGTCCCTGAATGTTTAAACAAGCCTTGCAATACACTGTAGACGGAAACCTACGAATAGCGAGTGCAGTGCGAAATTCAGTCACATCAAGACAACTTATTCCACCTTGTAGCGTGATGTCGTCTATGGCGTAAAAGAGCGGTTGCCTCAATGTATCTAAAACAGTATGCCATCATGACAGTGGGGTGTACCAAAGTATTGATGTTGCATGGAGCATGTTATATTTATGTATGGAATATCAGTTTTAATACTGCTTACACAATGTCCACCTTGGAGATCCGTAATGTCAATGTTTCAATACTGAAAATATTTAAGTATTTAGTTGAAAAGAAAATGTAAAATCATATGCAGGTGACACAAGTTACCCCTTATACTACAATATATTATACATCACCTGTCATCACTTGATATACTCCATAGACTGCGTTGGTTCCTGACTTTGACTCTTCAGGTTATTAAAAATAGCTATCATTCTCGATGTGTGATATCTCAGAGTTGGAAACTAGGTTTATCTCCTATATTCTATGCAATAAGGTTATCTCTTCGCAAACACAGGGCCGTTTCAGCCACCACGGAGCAATTGTGGCGCATAGAGAAATTGAAGCACTTACGCAGCCAGGTCATACTCATATTGAGACATCCATCCTTCATCCTGCGTCCTACACGTATCAGTAGATTCATTTAATTTAATTCGCTGCTGAAAGTACTTATGTAGGTAAAGAAATAGTTGAACATGTAAGAACTATGATTCAATGAAACACTGAAGTGGATGTATATGAACGACTGGGCTAGATTGAAACTTGTACTTACCATGCTGGAATGGACTGGGTCGAGGCATGAACGAATTCCTTGATGTTGGAAATAAATAGAAGGTATTACTGGTTATCGAACAAAACAATACGAAGCATCAGTGAAATAGAATACTTATACATTTTATTTTATTCTTGTTTAACGCTGCATTCAGCAATATTCAAGCTATAAGACGGCGGTCTGTAAATAATCGAGTCTGGACCAGACAATCAAGTGTTTAACATCAGGAGCACCGATCTACACTATTGGGATATGATAACATGCATCAACCAAGTCAGCGAGCCTGACCCTCCGATCCCGTTAGTCACCTCTTACGGAGAGCATAGTCGCCTTTTACGGCAAGAATGGGTAGCTAAAGACCTATTCTACCCGGGATCGTCATGGGTCACTTATACGTAAGTGATCACATTAAAGTATCTTCATGTCCTATTACCGATGTAGGGCAGAGGGGGCAACACGTGTGACTTTCTCGTTGACTGTAACAAGATGCCCAAAGTTGCCTTGACAAGTGGTTGGTTTTGTACACAGGTAGATGTTTTGCTTGTTTCTTGTTTAACGCCACTCTCACAAATATTCCAGCCATATAACGGCGATCGTTAAATATGCCTGTCTCATCTTGAGCCTCGATCTAACCAATTGGGATACATTAACATGCACTGACCAAGTGAGTGAGCCTTGCCACCAGATCCCGTCAGTCTCCTCTTGCGACAATCATGGGTTGCTGAAGACCTATTCTAACCCAGATTTTCACAATAACAACTGCTACGTTATACTTACATAGGTAGGTTTGTAGGTTCCTCTCCACCTACAACTTGACATAATAATAAAATATTGTCTTAATTACAATAGGAAAGGACGTTCGACAACAAGCAAATAATACATAAAACAGTATGTAAACCTACGGTTATTTACAACATGTAATATATAGTAATATATGATGAAATGAGGTCAGACGTGATAATGTTTATGGCGGGTGGGGGTAGGAGGAGGTAGGTCGGGGTAAAGGTTGAGGCGTTGTTTTTGGGCTAGGGTTACGGGAAAAGTAGTTTCCATGTTGCCATTCAACAGACCAGTAATAAGTCACTATCAGTAGGAGTAAATTACTTAAAATTAAAACCTTTAGTAAATTGATCACAATGACACCCTCCCTACTTGGTTTAACTGAGGCCATGAACATATTTGAAATATAATTTCTTTTTAAATCGACCTAACGACCTCAATTGTTAGATTGAAAATCCGTAAACCCCCAAATATCAGACCTAAACATTCCCAAATACATACCCAAAGTGTGCTGGGTCTGTCTCCGACAAAGAACCACCGAGACGGTGACGAGGGCAACCACAACCAGAATACCGAGTCCAGCTGCAAGGCCGATTGTAATTCCATGTTTGCTCATGACTGATGTTTTGGCTAGAAATAATAGATAATGTTCACATCAGACCTGGTGTAAAACAAGCTGCCTGTGGATGCAAGTGAAGGTTGTAGCATTCAAAAAGGAGACTGAAAATTTTGAAAAGCGCTTCCATGATAATAAGAACTCTCAACAAAACGCACAGTCCATTGTACGATTTCGTCTAATTCAAAAACATGTGTACATGAATCACTATCAAATAATGAAGTTACCAAGCGTTCACAAACTAGCAGTCACAAGAAATCATTACTTTTCCAGAAGCAATAAATGCACAACGTTTAACACAATACCATTGTTTGTTTGATAAAATATAGCCTTGATAAGCCATTGTCCTTGGTGTCACTTACATAGGGTGGTTGTTGTATTTAACACTGTTATCTCCCCTTCACCATAGACATTAGTAGCATACAACTGGAAGTGGTACGTCACGGCAGGTGTCAGTCCTTGGATGTGCACACTGACGTGATGACTACTTCCTGGATCGGCTATGTTGTCGTTCCATGTCAACCAATGAGACTCCAAGTCCGACTTGTACAGGAGAGTGAACGTCTGGTCAGCCCCACCATTGAAGCTGGAGGTCCACTGTAGAGACACAGATGTGTCAGTCACAGCAGCCACCTGGAAGTCTGTGGGTACAGAGGGTGGAGCTGAAATGAAGATGACACAGATGTATCAGTCACAACAACCTGGAAGTCTGTGGGTACAGAGGGCGGGGCTGAAATAAAGATGACACAGATGTATCAGTCACAGAAGCCACCTGGAAGTCTGTGGGTACAGAGGGTGGAGCTGAAATAAAGATGACAGATGCATCAGTCACAACAACATGGAAGTCTGTGGGTACAAAGGGCGGGGCTGAAATAAAGATGACACAGATGTATCAGTCACAGAAGCCACCTGGAAGTCTATGGGTACAGAGGACGGGGCTGAAATAAAGATGACACAGATGTATCAGTCACAGAAGCCACCTGCAAGTCTGTGGGTACAGAGGGTGGAGCTGAAATGAAAATGACACAGATGTATCAGTCACAGAAGCCACCTGGAAGTCTGTGGGTACAGAGGGTGGAGCTGAAATGAAGATGACACAGATGTATCAGTCACAACCACCTGGAAGTCTGTGGGTACAGAGGGCGGGGCTGAAATAAAAATGACACAGATGTATCAGTCACAGAAGCCACCTGGAAGTCTATGGGTACAGAGGACAGGGCTGAAATAAAGATGACACAGATGTATCAGTCACAGAAGCCACCTGCAAGTCTGTGGGTACAAAGGGTGGAGCTGAAATGAAAATGACACAGATGTATCAGTCACAGAAGCCACCTGGAAGTCTGTGGGTACAGAGGGCGGGGGCAATATACTTGAGAACAACTGATTGCAGCTTCACTGAAATTTACGACAATATTAATTTTAGCAGCTTTATTATATATTTGGCATTATCTCATACCTACCATGTTAACATAACGTCAATGATAAATGGTTACCTAGGGTGAATAATGTGATAGATGAATGACATAATTCCCGAACATTGACCAGACTGAGGAAATGTGGACTCAAGAATACCTTCACGATTATTACCACAAGAAGCCCTATTATATATTTTAAATATAAAACGCCACAGATTACTCAGTCTTGATTATCTCCCGAAACAGATTATATTGGAAGTAAAAGGCAGAATACTGGCGACAGTTATATGAATGGATCACAAAACAAGTGTTTGTGAAGAGGAAAAGCATGGCCTGCTCTAACGTCAGCACCCGCCATTCACAAAGTTGCATATAAAGTATGTGTTTGTTGCCTAACGCCGCCCAGCAGTACTCATGCCATATAACGGCAGCCTGTAAACATTCTAGTCTTGACCAGACTGCCCAGTGATGTCCAAGACAGTCCAGAAAATAACACACTAGCACGTTTTTGGATTAAAGCATATGTTTCTCTACCTTATTGTCTTGTGAAAGTTACGTACTGTATACAGTGAGTCTGATGTTCTTTTCCTGAGAGTCACCAATGCCGTTTTGTGCCTGACAGGTGTAGTCCCCCTGGTCTGTTCTGGACACATTGCTGAGACTCATCTGGCCTGCCAAGGGGATGTTGTCTTTCCTCCATGTTATATTGCAGCTTGGGTTACACTCGGCAGTGCAGGTGGCAGTGAAAGCACCGGTTCCCTCAACCATACTCAGTGATCCTGATAGAGAAATAGTTACACTATTCCTGGGACCATCTTAAAGGAAAAATGAAAACATTTTAGTACAAGAATCAACAAAAATGGGAGATACATTGAACGGTTTAAAAGAAGATTCAGAAAATCTTCTGATAAGAAACGGTTCCAAGCAAACTACATGTTCTTGTCGCAAGAAGCGACTGAATAGACAGGGTGGTTAGGCTTGGTGCCATGGTTGATTCTATGTCATCGTACCCTGACATCGTTGCAGGTTGTTGGCGATGCCAATCACTTGTTTGTCTGGTCCAGACTGGACAATCACAGGGAGTAATGATATCAGTTGGATTATTGAATATTGTGGCAATACGAAATGAATAAATATTAATTGCAAAAGTATCTTCTTCCAAACTCACACTGCACATCCACACTAACAGGTTCGCTTGCTGTCCCCAGTTGTAGCCTGCCTCCACTTGGTCTGAGCATGTTGCTGGCTGTGCAGGTGTACAGTCCACTCTGGTTCCTACTCATGATCTCTAGTACAAGCTGTGGCTCTGCACTGACAGTGTAACCATTGTGTGTCCAAGTGTAGCTTGTGCCTCCTGGGTTTCCCGGGGTAGTTACATTGCTGCAGTCCACACTGAATGAAGAGAACTCCGTGACGTTCATCACTGATGGTAACCCAGAGATAGTTGGTGGGTCTGGAAATAATAACATGTTTTACAATTGAGCCACGCAATTTGAAATACATTCATGTAGAATGTATACATAAGTTACGAAATCGACACTATTTATACACGCTGTCTTCACTGAACATGTGATGTCATACTGAACACAATAAGGCAGATTTTAAACAGTGGAAACAAAGACCAAATGCATCGTACTGGTATGACATCACAACATTATGTTCATTATTTCAGGGAGTTTGAACGCTCATCCATATTACATATTTGTCGATATATGTGCTTTGTCCCATATTGTATCAGGAGAACATTGATGTTTATTTTTCGGTAAACTGGTGATGAATGATTAACAGATTCTCTATTTAACACCTCTACAATACATATGCCATACATAAACACCAAGTCTCACACTGTATGTCCAGTAAAACCTGTCCTGTAGCTGAGCCTAACTGTTGAGGTCCTTCACTTGGTGTGAGAGTGTTATAAGCTGTACAGGTGTACTGCCCTTCTTGATTCCTTCTAGTGTTGTGTATTTCCAACACAGAACTTGTGCTGATGACAGAACTGTTCAATGTCCAAGTGAAGTTTGTCGTCGGAGGGTGTCCTTGGACGATGTAGCTGCTACAGTCTACCCACACTCTGGATGTCTCTATCACTCCGTAAGACGATGGGAAGTCAGACAAAGAAGGAGCATCTGTTAAAATAACGAATTGTCTGTTCTGAAAGGCTACAATGATGACAAAGAATGTTTACTCTTTTTGTGCGTTACTTCTTTAACAAGGAATTCTCACATTTTGAAATTCAGAAGGATGGTTATTGTACTTTTTTTTAACAGATGAACACATGCACTTCTGTTTAGATATATACTATCTTGTTTCATTTAACTTGGCAGCCACTTTGTTCTGGGTATTTATACACAAAGGGCGTATTTGATTCTTTTCATGTATTTCAGGTAAGAATTGGACTTCAGCAATCCATGCTTTCATACCAACCGTAAAGATCTGGGTTAGAATTGGTCTTCAGCAACCAATGCTTGTCGTAAGAGGTCACAAACGGGATTTTGTAGTCATACTTTGTTGATGCATGTCATTGTGCACCAATTCGCTTGTCGATGCTCATGACGTCAATCACCAGACTATCTGGTCCACCTTCGATTATTTACAGGCCACCGTCATAAAGCCAGAACGTTGCCGAGTGTGGTGTTAAACAACAAACAAACAAACGAATCCTATGAGCATGACTATGTCATTACCAGAGGGTTGCTGTGTTACAAGTACACTGTGATTATTGTATCGTGATAGGTATCTCAACTCACACTGTACAATGACATTGACTGTGGCTGAATCTGAACCGACTTCGTTGTTAACTGTGCATGTGTATAGACCTCCTGCAGTTCTGTTGATGCCACGGTCTTGAAGAACAGCCACGGCATTGAACACAGATCCCTCATAGCTCCATGTGTAGTTACTTCTACCAGGCTTGCCGGGTGAAGTATAGTTCCTACAGTTGATCCAGAGATCACTGTTTTCAACTACTTGGTAGGAAGACGGGAAGCCAGATAGAGATGGTGCATCTGTTGACATGAGATTGTATATGATTACACAATATATGACACATTAGACATTATATGATGGCGTGTGTAATAAAATCATCAGAGTGTGAGCTTTGATTCAGCTAGATCTCTCAGAAATCAACGTTCAGCTCGTGGTGGGGTATACGGAATTTATTCCCCGCTGAGAAATTTATTTCCCTCAAAGGCAGGATACATAGTATTTTATTTACATAACGTGGACCAATCAGATTACATCATTCTGACATGGAGGTATGATAATGTATGTTGTGTGGTGGCATGTTTTCACGAAGGTGTGAGCTTTGAGTCAGTTAAACACTCACATTGTACATCAACAGTGACGGAAGCTGACTCCGACCCAACAACATTGCTGACAGTGCAGGTGTACTGTCCAGCCTTGGTCCTGTTGATGCTGTCTACTTGAAGAACTTCCTCATTACTGAACACTGATTGTCCATAGATCCATGTGTAGTTGGTTGTTGCCGGGTTGCCGGGTGAGGTGTACTTGCTACAGTTGATCCACAGTTGTGATTCTTCCACCACCCAGTGAGTAGACGGGAGTCCGGATATTGAAGGGGGAACTGTAAAGGGGATCGGGCTATTGTTTAATTGATTCCGTCCATGTATAATTCAATCAAATTGTACAGAACAATGACTGACTCACTGATTTAAGATGTTGGTGAGTAGTTGTAGTGTGTGTTATAAGCTGAGAAAATATGAAGCTGTTGTGTCCAAGCATAAATATAATCGTCAGGCATGGTATATTACAAAAACACAAATTTGTTAGTTGATTATTGTATGTGTATTTGTGATTTTAGCCTGTAATAATTTTGTAGTTATATAATAAATTCAATACCTTTTAAGAAATAAAGAAATAAAGATAGCAAATATGTATACACAACTATGGTAACATTAAAAGGCAATACGACATAACAGCTATAAGGTATTACGGCAATAAGATATATTTGCTAAGCTGTGTTACTGCCATAAGATATTACTAATGTTAGTGTCAGCGTACATCCACGTCAGTTTATTTTCCCCACCTTTCAATGAAATGATGTCAGGTATACTCACACTCGACTTCAACATTGATATGTGTGTCGACTGTACCCTGCCGTTGAGAGTCTCCACTTGGGGTCAGAGTGTTACTAGCTGTGCATACATATTCCCCCTTCTGACTCCTGCTGATATTGTACACAGTCAACACAGCCTCCTTACTGACGCTAGAACCTTTATATGTCCATGTGTAGCTTGTCACTGATGGGTTGCCTGGTGTAGTGGCACTGTGACAGTTAATCCTTAATGTGGACATCTCTGTGACTCTCCTCGTTGACGGTAATGCGGTAAGTGTTGGTGGGTCTGACAAAACATACAACATACGTGTGTAATGTGTGTGTGTTTATAGCTTTATATAGGATTCCGTCTCTGCGCATGTGTGTATGGATCACTATCAAAGAGTGATGATACCAGATGTTCGCGAGAAATTTGGCATATCGTAACAAATACACATTTGATTCAAGTCAAGATAAGGAATAGCACTGTACGTAATGTTTGGCACTGATACCTAAAAACTGAAAGTTGTACTCCACATGCCGACCCCAAGGCCACAGGGCCACAATTGGTGTCCGCGGATATGCCTATTTCTTGTCTAAGTATCCTAGCACCAAATTTCAGATGTATATATCATGTTTTCTCAGTATATTTCAGATGACATTTGCTTGCATTTGTTATACATTGTCCTGAAACTTTGTGGACAGATCTATGTATATAAATAGCTTTAAGATAACCACGTTCAGTAACAAATGTCATAACATGTGTAGAATGAATAACGTCGAGCTGTTCTGATATGTACATATAAGGGTGTTCTGCTCATTATTAAAATTCACTTTCCTGCACTTTCTGTCTATTATCAAAATAACAAAGAGTGAATTTATACCGGTAAAAGGAAAGAAAAGATGGACTTATAAGTAAGTGTGTCTATTGCTCTCGTGCATCACAGAGTAACTCACACTGCACGTCAACGTTAACCTTGGCTGTTGCTTCTCCTTGCTGTTCAGATCCTCCACTTGGTGTCAGAGTGTTGCGGGCAGTACAGGTATACTGTCCTGCTTGGCCTCTACTGATGCCGTCTATTCCAAGCAGAGAACTGGCACTGACTTGGGAACCATTGAAGGTCCAAGAATAGCGTGTTACTGCTGGATGCCCATGCGTGGCGTATGCTCCACAGTCGATCCACAATCTTGAAGACTCGATCACCCGGAACATTGGGGGAAAGCCAGATATAGATGGCACATCTTAAACAGAATATTAGCTGTGATAAGACTAACAATGTAGTAACACTATTTCAAGATCAACTTTACATTATAATTTTCTTAATATATCTTATTCTTGTGGAACATGATGGCCAGGAATCTTAATCAATAAACTCGGACCCCGTTGTACCACGGCATTCATCGTACCGTGTCAATTGTGATTTCCGGTAGTTCACACAGGACACGTCTCTTAGCGTCTGTCTATTAATGTGAATCAGGAACCAGGAAGTGTTCTCTTCATAAACAATTTCAGTTTAATAGGAGTGTTCCGTCTGCTGTAAGTAGGGAGTTATCAACGTGTTGATACTTACATCTTTTCAATATTGCCTTAACCCAATCTTTCAATGGCCAACGATATAACCCGCAGTGACCCAAGTAAACTTTCTGTATCAACCCGAACTAGATCATCTGCATATTCGTGGCGACTAATAAGGTAACGGAAGTAACGTCTTCCGCACACTTTTCCCCCACTCTGTGGCCAGCATCTTTTAGGAGATCATAAGGGTGATAATGCCATACTTAGAAATACATGTACGTTCTTCACCAGTAGCCAAATGATAAATACGCTTTTGGTATACAAGGAGTGCCGTATATTTATATTTATTGTTTACTTTCATCATTTTTCTATTTTTCCGACAAATTATTATAATCCATTTTTTTAATCATGAATCTTAAAATATAATTTCTGATATTTTGTTGTTAAAAATATTGTTTTCTTACTTTTATACTACAATATGCATTGAAAACCTATAACTGATAACACATTCAGAATTGTATGTAGGCTGTCTTTGCACTTGTCTGGACAAATCACTGAAGTCTGGCATTATCATACTTAGTTGTTGGTTGATGTAGGTCCTGTTGTTCTCCATACACAACTTTTCCCTGCACCGCGATACGAAGGAGTTCTCTCCCTTGTCAAACTGAGCCCGAGGCTCGGCTTTTACTCGGCGCGATTAAAGTAAATAATGAACTTTTATCAGTAAAATATGCACAGTTAGATAAAATAATAGGCATCTGATAGAGAACACGAATAAACATAAGGTTTAGTGGATGCATGTTGTTCTGTTAAGCGTCCATAACAAGTACCGCGATACCCCAAGGTTGCAAGAGTTTGGTCCAAAACAAATTAACATTAATTTCAAGATCATATAATGTTCCTGGTGTCAATAAACCACTCACATTGTACGTCGACACTGACGGAAGCAGACTCCGACCCAACAAGGTTGCTGACAGTGCAAGTGTACTGTCCTCTTTCAGTTCTGTTAATGTTGTCTATCTGAAGTACTTCCTCAGTACTGAACACTGATTGTTCATAGCTCCATGTGTAGTTAGTTGTTGCCGGGTTGCCTGGTGAAATGTAGTTACTGCAGTTGATCCACAGTTGGGATTCTTCTACCACCCAAAGAGTAGACGGGAGACCAGATATTGAAGGGGCATCTGTTCATTGGAAATATTCGATTAGAAATAATTACTTCATTACCTAAATCTAAGTGTATATTTATTATTCACTTCAAACCTTTGCTCAGTTGCAGAAAGCTTGAAAAACACTTTTTCTCAATCTGCACTTCCATTATGTGAGTGAGTGAGTGAGTGAGTGAGTGAGCTGGGTCTAACGCCGCGTTTAACATTATTCCAGTTATATCACCGTCTGTGAGGTTAATGTGGGAGGAAAGCCCAAAGTGATGCAGGTCTCAGACGTTTACCACTTTGGTGGAAGCCACGATCACAGGCATGATGCTGACAAAGCTAGAAACATAATTGGGGTGAACTGGGATCCGAACGCACAATCAAAGGTTTCTAGCGTGCCCAAGGGACATAACTCTGCACAGCGAATCGCGGCGCAAAAGACGACTGGGCCACCCGTGCCCCATCTATAATGTCGACCACCTCTGATGTGACAGGGCATTAAAAGATGACACACTGGACTATCACACGCAGTTACTTCTACACCAACACATGCATTGACGTCACAGCTAGTCTTCTTTAAGTTTCCGAAGTGATGAAAGGGGAAGTTGATATCAAACTTGTTCATTCACTCATTCAAAAACGGGGGGCACGGGTGGCCCAGTCCTCTAAGGCGCCGCGATTCGCTGTGCAAAGTTGCGTCCCCTGGACACGCCAGAAACCTATGGTTGTGGGTTCGAATCCCGGTTCACCCCGATTATGTTTCTAGGTTTGTCAGCACCATACCCGTGCTCGTGGGTTTCACCGAAGCGGTAAGCGTCTAAGACCTGCATCACTTCGGGCTTTCCTCCCACATTAAGCTGACACGCCATGATATAACTGGAATAATGTTAAAAGCGTCGTTAAACCCAACTCACTCACACTAATTCAAAAACGAGGGGTGGCCTGGTAGCCTAGTGGTTAAAGCGTTCGGTCCTCACGCCGAAGACCGGGTTCGATTCCCGACATGGGTACACTGGTGAAGCCCATTTCTGGTGTCCCCCGCCATGATATTGCTGGAATGTTGCTAAAAGCGGCGTTAAACCATGATTGAATGATTTAAACATATTTATTCACAAGGAGTGAACGGGATTGGGGGACAAGTTCTTCAACCTTAGAATGCCCTCTCCCTGGTATTACACAAAATTCACAATTTCAAATTCAATATATATGCATACAACACTATAGATGAGAGAGAGAGAGAGAGAGAGAGAGAGAGAGAGAGAGAGAGAGAGAGAGAGAACAAGAAAGAGAGAGAGAGAGAGAAAGAGAGAGAGAGAGCGAGAGAAAGAGATTTATATACATTGTTAAATGAACAGTTCTTTACACAAATCTTTTAGTTGTACATATATAATGTTGTACTGCCTTAAATATAGCTTCATTTTCTGTAACAACCTGATCTGCATTGCTGTATAACAGTAAGTGTACATATACAGGTATGTTATGAACAATAGTTTTAAGGCTGTTTAACATAACTTCACGCTGATGACTAAACAATGTACAGTCCATGAGATAATGATATGCATTTTTCACATGTATTCGAACATGTACAGTTCGGGTGATCTTTTATACCAATTCTATATAAATCATAATTCAATTGACTGCACATGTATCTCAGTTTTGTGTGTAAGATATTATATTTTCTTTTTCCATAAGCGAAGTACGCAGGTGACGTGGGGTGGTGCTTTTGTAACGAAGTTTTAAAACAAGAAATCGTAGAATTTCGATCTGATAACGGAATAGAGTTCCACAATCGGATAGACGAACGTGTAAAAGAATTCACACGAATGGCTTAGTCTTGTGAGAGGAACACTGATGTTTTCAGAGTTTCTGAGACTGTATGAGTTTTTTGCAGCAATGGTTTTGGGTAGAATATCTGTTTGATAGGAAGGGGCCATGTTATGATTAATTTTGAAGAAAAGACAAAGTTTACGTTTCTTTCTTCGCTCAACTAAGGGTTCCCAACCGGTTTTGTAATATAATGAATGCCCGGGGGCATATTTAGGTAGACCAGTTACAATGCGTTAAGCTTCTAATTGTTATTGTTCTAAATTCTCACTTTGTCCTTCCGTGCAACCATTCCAAACCTCACATGCGTATTCAAAGTGTGGTCTTATGAAAATTGTACATATATTGTTCATAGTATTTCTGTGAAGTAGATGTTTGAGTTTTCTCATTGAGTAAATCATCTTCGAAGTTGTTTTAATTATGGTATCTATATGACAAGACCATTTGCCACTGGCTTCAAGAATAACACCCAAGTAAAACCATACTCACTCACTCATTGACAAACGATCAAGGGAACAAAGGAAGGAACAAACGAACGAACGAAAACCCTACCCATACTACCTATACACATAAACACATAAATGAATAAACAAACTTGCATACATACATCTATATACTTATATGAAAATAACTGGAATATGTAGGAACTTGTGAATGTCAAAATGTATTTGACACACATCTGCAGCATTATTAAAAAAAGACTTACACTGAACATCCACATTGATTTGTGCTGTTGCTATGCCTTGTCGTGGAGTCCCTACGTATGGTGTCAAAGTGTTGCTGGCAATGCAGGTGTATTGTCCTCCCTGATCAGGGCTGATGTTCCTTCTGGCAAGAACCGCCCCTGTACTGACAGTAGAACCGCCATAGGTCCACATGTAGCTTGTACTGGGAGGATTCCCTGCTGTGGTGTAACTGCTACAGTCTATCCTGAGATTAGATGACTCAGTTACTCGGTACGTCGAAGGAAACACAGATGTCAGTGGAGCGTCTGTGGACACAAAGCCATGCGGTAAGTTTAGACATGTCCATACACGCATAGCTTTACCTGTAGCAGTAACACAAGTACTTACTTACTTACTTGTATGTCCATGTATTATCACAAGACAACATCATAATATTCTTAGTCTTTGATTGTAAAGATGGGGTGTTTTGTGTGTATATGCAAAGTTTGCAGAGAGTATAAGCAATAATTTAGTCCAAAACAACTACACCTTGTCACAAGGATCATTTTGAGTGCTTTGAGTCAATAAAACACTCACATTGTACGTCAACGCTGACAGAAGCAGACTCCGACCCAACAAGGTTGCTGACAGTGCAAGTGTACTGTCCTCTTTCAGTTCTGTTAACGTCGTCTATTTGAAGTACTTCCTCAGTACTGATCACTGACTGTCCATAGCTCCATGTGTAGTTAGTTGTTGCCGGGTTGCCTCGTGAAGTGTAGTTACTGCAGTTGATCCACAGTTGTGATTCTTCTACCACCCAAAGAGTAGACGGGAGACCAGATATTGAAGGGACATCTGATCATTGGAAACATTCAGTTTGAAAATAAATAACTTCCTAACCTCAATCTAAAAGTATATATTTATGTTCAACTTCTGATCTGTGCACAGATGCAAATTTGTTCGAAAACACCTGATTTTGGTCTACCTTTCTAATCTGTCAGGTCTCTTTGGTCTAGTGGATACAGTATCTGTTGGGAGAGCTGGATATTGGGGGTTTGATGACATTACTCATTACAAAGCGTTAAGGTGCTTAACGATGAGGGGATAAAACAAGATCTGGAGGAACAAAGTCGGTGCGAAATATGTTTGTTTGTTTATATGGGATACTTCGAATATGGAGAACATATGAATGTCTAGATGTCAAATACAAGTATATGCAGCGTTTTGTATAAATGTATACCTGAATATCCACACTGATCTGTGTTGTTGCCATCCCCAGTCGTGGAATCCATCTGTATAATGTCAAGCTGTCTTCCTTATTCTTTTATGAGTTTGCCTCTCCCAAGAACAGCCCCAGTACTGACAGAACTTCAGTGCTTGAGTTTTGTACGTATTTTCTTGCTCGATGGCTTACTTACTTCAAACACCACATTCGTCCAGAACATGCTACTCATCCTATTACACAGCAGTCCAGTTCCCTTCACTAATGTACTATATCATATTAATCCCGTGGTAGTTTTGTTTCCCAGCAGCCTATGCTGGTCGAAAACGGCGACCAAATGGATCAGGGGTCAGGCTCGGTTTGATAACATATCATCGTAACCCAACGCCGGTGATTGTTGTTTCCAATGTCAATCACTTGATTGTCTGGTCAAAACTCGATAATGTACAGTCTGCTGTCATATAGCTGGAAAATGGTTTTACAATAAGCAAGGACTATCTTTCCTGTTTGCGCTGCTGACAGTCAGATAAACAGACACACATAAACTGACGTACAAAAGAAAGTACACCAAGAAGCTGTTTGTCAAATTACTTCATAAGTTCAAAAATAGAAATGAAATCATGGTGACATATGTCGCACAAATACAACCATATGTATTTGCGTAGCCTGTGAAAGTCTTTAATGAAAGACGCGTATTTTGAGAAAACGAGGTTTGCCCTCTTATAATGAAATGCACGTACAAAATTGGTTCATGAAGTTTCTGACAGTACAGGAAGGGAGATGAAAATGTTGGTATGGCCCAAGAACATTCAGTTCAACCTGTGTCCACTACGACAGACAGGTCAGACACCAGGACAGGTCTGGGAGTTTTTAACAAATGTAACACATGAATTCATTACTTTAGACATCACATTTTGCAAGAAATGGTACTCACACTGTACAACCACGCCAACCTGAGCTGTGGCCACCCCCTGTTGTTGAGACCCCCCACTTGGTGAAAGTGTGTTACTGGCAGTACAGGTGTACCGTCCTCCCTGGTTCCCACGTATTGCGTCTATTTTCAGCACTGCGCCAGAACTGACAGTGGACCCTTTGAAGACCCAGGAGTAGTCTGTTGTAGCAGGGTTGCCATCAGTTGTATAATTGCTACAGTCTATCCACAGTTTGGAGGATTTAATCACTTGGTAGGTTGAGGGAAAGCCAGATAGTGTTGGTGAATCTGTTACAAAAATAAATGTTTACGCATTATATGATATATACATTTGCTGATATAGTAAACAATAAGTGAGTGAGTGAGTATGGTTTTACGACGCTTTTAGCACTATTCGAGAAATATCACGGCAGGGGACACCAGAAATGGGCTTCACACATTGTGCCAATGTCGGGAATCGAACCCGGGTCTTCGGCGTGAGGAGCGAACGCTAACCACTAGGCTACCCGACCGCCCCAGTAAACAATTAAATCAAACCATGACATATAAGATATATGTGGTTATGGCCTGTAAATTTTATTTGTTAATTAGCTATATTTGATAATGACATGGTGTTCATTCTTATATGTGTGTTGTAGAACTAAGATTCGTTTTAAATAGAGCATGGGGAAATCAATGTTTCTCTGATTCGTATATCTTTTAGTTATGCCAAGTAAAAAGTACTACCCACACTGAACATCAATTGTGACTGAGGCTGCCTCCTTCCCTACAGCATTGCTGACAGTGCAGGTGTATTGTCCTCTTGCAGTTCTTTTAATGTTGTTTAGTTGAAGTACCGCCTTTGTACTAACGGTAGATGTCCCATAGCTCCATGTGTAGTTAGTTGTTGACGGGTTGCCTGGGGAAGTGTAACGCGTACAGTTGATCGACACTGGAGAATTTTCCATCACTTGGTAATCGAGTGGAACACCAGAGAGTACAGGTGGATCTGTGACATGAAACCATACATACACGATACTGATGGTGATACATAAACGTCATATTCTTAGAGTAGTACATGTGTTATTTTAAATAGTCAGGGATGTATCGCAACACCCATTTCCTTCATTCATTTGGGCCGTCTATATCTGATCAGTTACACTCAAGGTGTTTGTGATAACAACACTGAACATGCACATAAATAGCTCAGAGTGCATTTGGAGTTTATTATGAATATTGAATTCGTTTATCTTTATTACAACCTAATCACAGGAGCAGCACAATGTGATTCATACACTGGACATCCACATTGACTGGGGCAGAGTCTGATCCTACTGCGTTTCTAACAGTACAGGTGTACGCCCCTCCCTGACTCCTACTGATGCTGCTTCTTGTCAGTACAGCTCTTCTACCGACAGATGACCCTCCATGTGACCAACTGTAGGTTGCTGCTTGTGGGTTGCCCTGTCTTGTATATGAACTACAGTCCAGTCTTAAAGTAGCTGACTCATTCACTTGGTACGTGGATGGGAGGCCAGATATTTCAGGTGAATCTACAAGCAAGAAGATTCATCAATACTGGTCCATAACCAATTATATCTATGGATGCAAGGATGTCCAAGTCTTTCAAATGCATCAACTCTTTACTATGACATACTTTCCTCCTGCTCCTTTCTGTTTATTTAACATATCTTCACGAATGTGAAAATTATCTCCGGGATTCCCTAAGTATAGGATATTAACCGCCTGTGCGGGCTATCTGTGAATATATTGCAGTCCGGCAAAGGAAAAGCCCGCAGGCCGTAGGCCCAACGGATGTCCCTGCGCTGGAGTGCATTATTTTCATGGATAGCCATAGGAGAAGGTTTATATCTGACTTATAAACCGACAGATATGAAGATGCATTTTTGTTTAATTGACATTACTTTAATTCTGAAATTTCAATTGTAGCACTCGAAAGTTCTCAGTCAAAAGCGCACAGCTCGAGAATCCCGTGGGCAGAGGGATTTTCGGAGAAAAGAACAACCTGCTGTAACAATGGTAATGCATCACTGGAGGTTTATAAGATGTGTGTGTGTGTGTAGTTGCGCTGCTTCAGAGACTGGATACGTGAAAATGGCAGTTAAACATAAGTTTCTATCAAGTTATAGGTGTTTTAGGTGTCTTAGGTTCGTTTACAAATCAACATGCGTTCAAATATTCAACAATTTCAAACAATAATTGTTATATGTTTTGTTAATACAGTTTCGATTAGAATATATAACGATTAATCACAACTTAGAAATTACTTAGTAATAAATGGTGTTCAAACCAAGAGCGTTGTTCATAATGATGATGCTTACACAGATAACATTACAAATACGTTTGGAACTATAACAATTTCCTCTGCCATGCCTGGAAAAGAAGTAAACAAAATTTGCTTACATCTTACGTCTACGTTGACGAAGGCAGAGTCTGATCCTACTGTGTTTCTGGCAGTACAGGTGTACGCCCCTCCCTGACTCCTACTGATGCTGCTTCTTGTCAGTACAGCTCTTCTACTGACAGTTGACCCTCCATGTGACCAAGTGTAGGTTGTTGCAGAAGGGTAGCCATGTGTTGTATATGAACTACAGTCCAGTCTTAAAGTAGCTGACTCAGTCACTTGGTATGTTGATGGGAGGCCAGATATGGCAGGTGAATCTTCAAGCAAGAGGCGTTAACAACAGAGTTCAAGAACCATTCCGATTTATGGATGCAAAGATGTTCCTGTTTTTCAAATGCGTCCAATCTTTATAGTGAAAAATACGTTTCTCTTGAGACAAAATGGGTTTGGGTTTGTATGGGTGTGTTTTGACATTACTATAATCTTAATTTGAACCAAATGAAAGTTTGTTATTGGTTCATTAATCCAGTTCCTCTTATAGTTAATATATGGTGATTGGTCCTAATTTACAAATTACTCATTAAATAAAGTTCTGCAAACCAAGAGCAGTGTTCATTATGGCGATGGTTACACATAGGACATTGCAAATAAGCTTAACACGATTGAACATATCACAATTTCCCCGTCTATGCCTCGAAAAGAAGTAAACGATATATGCTTACATAGTATGGTCACGTTGACGGAGGCAGAGTCTGATCCTACTGTGTTTCTGACAGTACAGGTGTACGCCCCTCCCTGACTCCTACTGATGCTGCTTCTTGTCAGTACAGCTCTTCTACCGACAGATGACCCTCCATGTGACCAACTGTAGGTTGTTGCAGAAGGGTTGCCATGTGTTGTATATGAACTACAGTCCAGTCTTAAAGTAGCTGACTCAGTCACTTGGAACGTTGATGGGAGGCCAGATATTTCAGGTGAATCTACAAGCAAGAAGTGTTAACGACAGTGCTCAAGACCCATTTCGATTGACGGATGCAAAGATTTTCCTGTTTTTCAAATGCTTCCAATCTTTTAAGTAAAAAATACGTTTCTATTGAAACAAAGTGTTTGTGCTTGTATGGGTGTGTTTCGACATTACTATAATCTTAATTTGAACCAAATTAAAGTTTGTCATTGGTCCATTAATCCAGTTCCTCTTATAGTTAATATATAGTGATTGGTCCTAATTTACAAATTACTCATTAAATAATGTTGTGCAAACCAAGAGCAGTGTTCATTATGGCGATGGTTACACATGGGACATTGCAAATAAGCTTAACACGATTGAACATATCACAATTTCCCCGTCTATGCCTCGAAAAGAAGTAAACGAAATATGCTTACATAGTATGGTTACGTTGACGGAGGCAGAGTCTGATCCTACTGTGTTTCTGACAGTACAGGTGTACGCCCCTCCCTGACTCCTACTGATGCTGCTTCTTGTCAGTACAGCTCTTCTACCGACAGATGACCCTCCATGTGACCAACTGTAGGTTGTTGCAGAAGGGTTGCCATGTGTTGTATATGAACTACAGTCCAGTCTTAAAGTAGCTGACTCAGTCACTTGGAACGTTGATGGGAGGCCAGATATTTCAGGTGAATCTACAAGCAAGAAGTGTTAACGACAGTGCTCAAGACCCATTTCGATTGACGGATGCAAAGATTTTCCTGTTTTTCAAATGCTTCCAATCTTTTAAGTAAAAAATACGTTTCTATTGAAACAAAGTGTTTGTGCTTGTATGGGTGTGTTTCGACATTACTATAATCTTAATTTGAACCAAATTAAAGTTTGTCATTGGTCCATTAATCCAGTTCCTCTTATAGTTAATATATAGTGATTGGTCCTAATTTACAAATTACTCATTAAATAATGTTGTGCAAACCAAGAGCAGTGTTCATTATGGCGATGGTTACACATGGGACATTGCAAATAAGCTTAACACGATTGAACATATCACAATTTCCCCGTCTATGCCTCGAAAAGAAGTAAACGAAATATGCTTACATAGTATGGTTACGTTGACGGAGGCAGAGTCTGATCCTACTGTGTTTCTGACAGTACAGGTGTACGCCCCTCCCTGACTCCTACTGATGCTGCTTCTTGTCAGTACAGCTCCTCTACCGACAGATGACCCTCCATGTGACCAACTGTAGGTTGCTGCTTGTGGGTTGCCCTGTCTTGTATATGAACTACAGTCCAGTCTTAAAGTAGCCGACTCATTCACTTGGTACGTGGATGGGAGGCCAGATATTTCAGGTGAATCTACAAGCAAGAAGATTCATCAATACTGGTCCATAACCAATTATATCTATGGATGCAAGGATGTCCAAGTCTTTCAAATGCATCAACTCTTTACTATGACATACTTTCCTACTGCTCCTTTCTGTTTATTTAACATATCTTCACGAATGTGAAAATTATCTCCGGGATTCCCTAAGTATAGGATATAAACCGCCTGTGCGGGCTATCTGTGAATATATTGCAGTCCGGCAAAGGAAAAGCCCGCAGGCCGTAGGCCCAACGGATGTCCCTGCGCTGGAGTGTATTATTTTCACGGATAGCCATAGGAGAAGGTTTATATCTGACTTATAAACCGACAGATATGAAGATGCATTTTTGTTTAATTGACATTACTTTAATTCTGAAATTTCAATTGTAGCACTCGAAAGTTCTCAGTCAAAAGCGCACAGCTCGAGAATCCCGTGGGCAGAGGGATTTTCGGAGAAAAGAACAACCTGCTGTAACAATGGTAATGCATCACTGGAGGTTTATAAGATGTGTGTGTGTAGTTGCGCTGCTTCAGAGACTGGATACGTGAAAATGGCAGTTAAACATAAGTTTCTATCAAGTTCTAGGTGTTTTAGGTGTCTTAGGTTCGTTTACAAATCAACATGCGTTCAAATATTCAACAATTTCAAACAATAATTGTTATATGTTTTGTTAATACAGTTTCGATTAGAATATATAACGATTAATCACAACTTAGAAATTACTTAGTAATAAATGGTGTTCAAACCAAGAGCGTTGTTCATAATGATGATGCTTACACAGATAACATTACAAATACGTTTGGAACTATAACAATTTCCTCTGCCATGCCTGGAAAAGAAGTAAACAAAATTTGCTTACATCTTACGTCTACGTTGACGGAGGCAGAGTCTGATCCTACTGTGTTTCTGGCAGTACAGGTGTACGCCCCTCCCTGACTCCTACTGATGCTGCTTCTTGTCAGTACAGCTCTTCTACTGACAGTTGACCCTCCATGTGACCAAGTGTAGGTTGTTGCAGAAGGGTAGCCATGTGTTGTATATGAACTACAGTCCAGTCTTAAAGTAGCTGACTCAGTCACTTGGTATGTTGATGGGAGGCCAGATATGGCAGGTGAATCTTCAAGCAAGAGGCGTTAACAACAGAGTTCAAGAACCATTCCGATTTATGGATGCAAAGATGTTCCTGTTTTTCAAATGCGTCCAATCTTTATAGTGAAAAATACGTTTCTCTTGAGACAAAATGGGTTGGGTTTGTATGGGTGTGTTTTGACATTACTATAATCTTAATTTGAACCAAATGAAAGTTTGTTATTGGTTCATTAATCCACTTACTCTTATAGTTAATATATGGTGATTGGTCCTAATTTACAAATTACTCATTAAATAAAGTTCTGCAAACCAAGAGCAGTGTTCATTATGGCGATGGTTACACATAGGACATTGCAAATAAGCTTAACACGATTGAACATATCACAATTTCCCCGTCTATGCCTCGAAAAGAAGTAAACGATATATGCTTACATAGTATGGTCACGTTGACGGAGGCAGAGTCTGATCCTACTGTGTTTCTGACAGTACAGGTGTACGCCCCTCCCTGACTCCTACTGATGCTGCTTCTTGTCAGTACAGCTCTTCTACCGACAGATGACCCTCCATGTGACCAACTGTAGGTTGTTGCAGAAGGGTTGCCATGTGTTGTATATGAACTACAGTCCAGTCTTAAAGTAGCTGACTCAGTCACTTGGAACGTTGATGGGAGGCCAGATATTTCAGGTGAATCTTCAAGCAAGAAGTGTTAACGACAGTGCTCAAGACCCATTTCGATTGACGGATGCAAAGATTTTCCTGTTTTTCAAATGCTTCCAATCTTTTAAGTAAAAAATACGTTTCTATTGAAACAAAGTGTTTGTGCTTGTATTGGTGTGTTTCGACATTACTATAATCTTAATTTGAACCAAATTAAAGTTTGTCATTGGTTCATTAATCCAGTTCCTCTTATAGTTAATATATAGTGATTGGTCCTAATTTACAAATTACTCATTAAATAATGTTGTGCAAACCAAGAGCAGTGTTCATTATGGCGATGGTTACACATGGGACATTGCAAATAAGCTTAACACGATTGAACATATCACAATTTCCCCGTCTATGCCTCGAAAAGAAGTAAACGAAATATGCTTACATGGTATGGTTACGTTGACGGAGGCAGAGTCTGATCCTACTGTGTTTCTGACAGTACAGGTGTACGCCCCTCCCTGACTCCTACTGATGCTGCTTCTTGTCAGTACAGCTCCTCTACCGACAGATGACCCTCCATGTGACCAACTGTAGGTTGCTGCTTGTGGGTTTCCCTGTCTTGTATATGAACTACAGTCCAGCCTTAAAGTAGCTGACTCATTCACTTGGTACGTGGATGGGAGGCCAGATATTTCAGGTGAATCTACAAGCAAGAAGATTCATCAATACTGGTCCATAACCAATTATATCTATGGATGCAAGGATGTCCAAGTCTTTCAAATGCATCAACTCTTTACTATGACATACTTTCCTACTGCTCCTTTCTGTTTATTTAACATATCTTCACGAATGTGAAAATTATCTCCGGGATTCCCTAAGTATAGGATATAAACCGCCTCCGTGCGGGCTATCTGTGAATATATTGCAGTCCGGCAAAGGAAAAGCCCGCAGGCCGTAGGCCCAACGGATGTCCCTGCGCTGGAGTGCATTATTTTCACGGATAGCCATAGGAGAAGGTTTATATCTGACTTATAAACCGACAGATATGAAGATGCATTTTTGTTTAATTGACATTACTTTAATTCTGAAATTTCAATTGTAGCACTCGAAAGTTCTCAGTCAAAAGCGCACAGCTCGAGAATCCCGTGGGCAGAGGGATTTTCGGAGAAAAGAACAACCTGCTGTAACAATGGTAATGCATCACTGGAGGTTTATAAGATGTGTGTGTGTAGTTGCGCTGCTTCAGAGACTGGATACGTGAACATGGCAGTTAAACATAAGTTTCTATTAAGTTATAGGTGTTTTAGGTGTCTTAGGTTCGTTTACAAATCAACATGCGTTCAAATATTCAACAATTTCAAACAATAATTGTTATATGTTTTGTTAATACAGTTTCGATTAGAATATATAACGATTAATCACAACTTAGAAATTACTTAGTAATAAATGGTGTTCAAACCAAGAGCGTTGTTCATAATGATGATGCTTACACAGATAACATTACAAATACGTTTGGAACTATAACAATTTCCTCTGCCATGCCTGGAAAAGAAGTAAACAAAATTTGCTTACATCTTACGTCTACGTTGACGGAGGCAGAGTCTGATCCTACTGTGTTTCTGGCAGTACAGGTGTACGCCCCTCCCTGACTCCTACTGATGCTGCTTCTTGTCAGTACAGCTCTTCTACTGACAGTTGACCCTCCATGTGACCAACTGTAGGTTGTTGCAGAAGGGTAGCCATGTGTTGTATATGAACTACAGTCCAGTCTTAAAGTAGCTGACTCAGTCACTTGGTATGTTGATGGGAGGCCAGATATGGCAGGTGAATCTACAAGCAAGAGGCGTTAACAACAGAGCTCAAGACCCATTCCGATTTATGGATGCAAAGATGTTCCTGTTTTTCAAATGCGTCCAATCTTTATAGTGAAAAATAGGTAAACAAAATATGCTTACATAGTATGGTTACGTTGACGGAGGCGATGTCTGATCCTACTGTGTTACTGGCGGTACAGGTGTATTCCCCTCTCTGACTCCTACTGATGCTGCTTCTTGTCAGTACAGCTCCTATACTGACAGATGACCCTCTATGTGACCAATTGTAGGTTGTTGCAGAAGGGTAGCCATGTGTTGTATATGAACTACAGTCCAGTCTTAAAGTAGTTGACTCGGTCACTTGGTATGTTGATGGGAGGCCAGATATTTCAGGTGAATCTACAAGCAAGAGGCGTTAACAACAGTGCTCAAGAACCATTCCGATTTATGGATGCAAAGATGTTCCTGTTTTTCAAATGATTCCATTTTCTACATTGAAAATACGTTTCTACTAATGATTGTGCTATCATGGGTGTGTTTCGACATTGACATAATCTTAATTTGAACCAAATGAAAGATTATTATTGGTATATTAATTCAATGTTGTGGAAAGAAATAGCAGTGTTCATAACGGTGACGGTTACACATAGGAAATCGCAAAAACGTTTTAAAAGATTAAACATATCACAATTTCTTCTACATAACCTGTCATATATAAAATAAGCTTCCTTAGATCCCAAGTTATTGGTGAGCACGAAATATCTTAACAGCTTCCCCAGCACATGTGCAGCAATAAATCACCGGACTTCATAAATCGTTTTCTTTAACAGAAAAAAAACACACATTTTTTCATGATGTGCATGCTACAGGCGACACATCAACGACCATGTGTTTGTGTAACAACTAATCTATACAATCCGGATGTTTGGCGATACCATTTATGCATGTAACCCTGAACAAGAGCATATACACCGTACCACCACCAGCGTCTGCACCCTACATTAAGCCACACGGCCACTCACATTGTACCACCACCAGTGTCTGCAGCCAACATTAGGTCACACTGCCACTAACATTGTACCACCATCAGTGTCTGCAGCCTACATTAAGTCACACTGCCATTCACATTGTACCACAACCAGTGTCTGCAGTCTACATTATGTCACACTACCACTAACATTGTACCACCATCAGTGTCTGCAGCCTTCATTACTCCACACTACCACTCACATTGTACCACAACCAGTGTCTGCACCCTACATTAAGTCACACTGCCACTAACATTGTACCACCATCAGTGTCTGCAGCCTGCATTAAGTCACACTGCCACTCACATTGTACCACAACCAGCGTCTGCAGCCAACAATAGGTCACACTGCCACTAACATTGTACCACCATCAGTGTCTGCAGCCTGCATTACTCCACACTACCACTCACATTGTACCACAACCAGTGTCTGCACCCTACATTAAGTCACACTGCCACTCACACTGTACCACCACCAGTGTCTGCAGCCTACATTATGTCACACTGCCACTAACATTGTACCACAACCAGTGTCTGCAGCCTGCATTACTCCACACTACCACTCACATTGTACCACAACCAGTGTCTGCACCCTACATTAAGTCACACTGCCACTCACATTGTACCACCACCAGTGTCTACACCCTATATTTGGTCACACTGCAACTCACAATGTACCACAACCAGTGTCTGTAGCCTACATTAGGTCACCCTGCCATTAACATTCTACCACAACCAGTGTCTGCACCCTACATTAAGTCACACTGCAACTCACATTGTACCACAACCAGTGTCTGCACGCTACATTAAGTCACACTGCAACTCACATTGTACCACCACCAGTGTCTTCACGCTACATTAAGTCACACTGCCACTCACATTGTACCACCACCAGTGTCTACACCCTATATTTGGTCACACTGCCACTCACAATGTACCACAACAAGTGTCTGTAGCCTACATTAGGTCACCCTGCCACTAACATTCTACCACAACCAGTGTCTGCACCCTACATTAAGTCACACTGCAACTCACATTGTACCATATTCCAGTGTCTGCAAGCTACATTAATTCAAACTGCCACTCACATTGTACCACCACCAGTGTCTGCACCCTACATTAAGTCACACTGCAACTCCCATTATACCACAACCAGTGTCTGCACGCTACATTAAGTCACACTGCCACTCACATTGTACCACCACCAGTGTCTGCACCCTACATTAAGTCAAACTGCCACTCACATTGTACCACAACCAGTGTCTGCACGCTACATTAAGTCACACTGCCACTCACATTGTACCACCACCAGTGTCTGCACCCTATATTTGGTCACGCTGCCACTCACAATGTACCAGAACCAGTGTCTGTAGCCTACATTAGGTCACCCTGCCACTAACATTCTACCACAACCAGTGTCTGCACCCTACATTAAGTCACACTGCCACTCACATTGTACCACAACCAGTGTCTGCACCCTATATTTGGTCACACTGCCACTCACAATGTACCACCCCCAGCGTCTGCGGTCTACATAAATCACACTGCCTCTCACATTGTACCACCATCAGTGTCTGCACCCTACATTAAGTCACACTGCTACTCACATTGTACCACAACCAGTGTCTGTAGCCTACATTAGGTCACCCTGCCACTAACATTCTACCACAACCAGTGTCTGCACCCTACGTTAAGTCACACTGCAACTCACAATGTACCACAACCAGTGTCTGCACGCTACTAGTGTCACACTGCCACTCACATTGTACCACCACCAGTGTCTACTCCCTATATTTGCTCACACTGCTACTCACATTGTACCACAACCAGTGTCTGCAGCCTACATTAGGTCACACTGCCCCTTACATTGTACCACCACCAGTGTCTGCATCCTACATTTGGTCACACTGCCACTCACATTGTACCACCCCCAGCGTCTGCGGCCTACATAAATCACACTGCCCCTCACATTGTACCACCACCAGTGTCTGCGTCCCTCATTTGGTCACACTGCCACTCACATTGTACCACCCCCAGCGTCTGCGGCCTGCATAAATCACACTGCCTCTCACATTGTACCACCACCAGTGTCTGCATCCTACATTTGGTCACACTGCCACTCACAATGTACCACCCCCAGCGTCTGCGGCCTACATAAATCACACTGCCCCTTACATTTTTCCACCACCAGTGTCTGCATCCTACATTTGGTCACACTGCCACTCACATTGGACCGCCCCCAGCGTCTGCGGCCTGCATAAGTCACAATGCAACTCACATTGTACCACCACCAGTGTCTGCAGGCTACATTAAGTCATACTGCTACTCACATTGTACCACCACCAGTGTCCGCAGGCTACATTAAGTCATACTGCTACTCACATTGTACCACCACATTGACAGTTGCTGAGTCAGCCCCCACTGTGTTCGTGGCAGTGCAGGTGTACTGTCCAGCTTGATTCTTGTTGATGTTGACTATGTCGAGTACAGCCCCTGTGCTAACAGTTAACCCTCTGTTCGTCCACCTGTATGTAGGTGTTGTAGCTGACCGTGTGTAGGAACTACAGTCTAGCCGCAATCTACTTGACTTGTTCACTCGGTATGTGGAAGGTAGACCAGATATCGTAGGAGCAGCTATGACAATAAAATATGTGAGCATATTCAACTATTGATACTATGAATCAAACGTACTTTTTGAATAGTATACACGTGTCATCATAATAGTATACATATCAACAAAACCTTTAACCTAATCACTATAACCTTCTTTCGGACAGTCAACAGCAAGCAATACTAGTTTACGTGAAATGTTTATAGAGTTATCAAAGCTTTTGTCAAATGTTTATACTTTAGCATGGAAACATAATGACTTTCTTATTTCATCAACCGTCTTGTAAGGACACTCTGGTTCCATGCAGTGAATCATATATTTATACTACCCATACATATTTGGAGTGAATGAGTGTAGTTTTGCACTGCTTTTAGCAATATTCCAAAATTATCACAGCAGGGATTCCTGAAATTGGCTTCACACATTGCACCCACCTGAGGAATCGAACCGAGGGCCTCGGCGTGACGATCGAACTCCTCAACAACTTCGCTACCCCACGGCCCCACATATATCGACATACTGATATAGACGTAACACGAAGTGACATAGTTACATAGACGTAACACGAAGTGACATAGTGACATAGACGTAACACGAAGCGACATAGTTACATAGACGTAACACAAAGTGACATAGTGACATAGATGTAACACGAAGTGACATAGTGACATAGACGCAACACGACGTGACATAGTGACATACACGTAACACGAAGTGACATAGTGACATAGACGTAACACGAAGTGACATAGTGACATAGACATAACACGAAGTGACATAGTGATATAGACGTAACACGAAGTGACATAGTGATATAGACGTAACACAAAGTGACGTAGTGACATAGACGTAACACAAAGTGACGTAGTGACATAGACGTAACATAAAGTGACATAGTGACATAGACGTAACACAAAGTGACATAGTGATATAGACTTAACACAAAGTGACGTAGTGACATAGACGTAACATGAAGTGACATAGTGACATAGTCGTAACACGAAGTTACATAGTGACATAGACGTAACGCGAAGTGACATAGTGACAGAGACGTAACACGAAGTGACATAGTGATATAGACGTAACACGAAGTGACATAGTGATATAGACGTAACACGAAGTGACATAGTGATATAGACGTAACGCAAAGTGACATAGTGCCATAAACGTAACACGAAGTGACATAGTGATATAGACATAACACGAAGTGACATAGTGCCATAGACGTAACACGTAGTGACATAGTGTCATAGGCTTAACACGAAGTGATATAGTGACATAGATGTAATGCGAAGTGATATAATCACATAGACGTAACACGAAGAGTCGTAATGACATAGATTTAACACGAAGTGACACAGTGGCATGGACGTAACACGAAGTGACATAGTGACATAGACGTAACATGAAATGACGTGGTGACATAGACGTAACACGAAGTGACATAGTGACATAGATGTAACACGAAGTGACATAGTGTCATAGAGTTAACACGAAGTTACATAGTGACATAGACGTAACATGAAATGACGTAGTGACACGGACGTAACACGAAGTGGCATAGTGACATAGACGTAACACGAAGTGACGTAGTGACATAGACGTAACACGAAGCGACATAGTGTCATAGGCGTAACACGATGTGACGTAGTGACATAAACGTAACACGAAGTGATATAGACGTAACGTGACAGATGGTTATGGAGTTGTAACCCATTACCAGGTTCCACAGGTTCATGTCAAATGTGTAATATTCTAAATATGTTATAGTCTGTTTGTGAAAGTACATACATCTCCACACAGCCCTGAAGCCGGAAGATCCTACTGACACATCTCTTGTAAATTCCACACGAAGTGACATAGTGTTTTAGACTTAAGACGAAGTGACATAGTGCCATCAACGTAACACGAAGTAACATAGTGACGTAGATGTAACACGAAGTGACATAGTGATATAGACGTAACACGAAGTGATATAGTGATATAGACGTAACACGAAGTGACATAGTGATATAGACGTAACGCGAAGTGACATAGTGACATAGACGTAACACGAAGTGACATAGTGACATACACGTACCACGAAGTGACATAGTGATATAGACGTTACACGAAGTGACATAGTGATATAGACGTAACACGAAGCGACATAGTGATATAGACGTAACACGAAGTGACATAGTGATATAAACGTAACACGAAGTGACGTAGTGATATAGACGTAACACGAAGTGACATAGTGACATAGATGTAATGCGAAGTGATATAATCACATAGACGTAACACGAAGTGTCGTAATGACATAGATGTAACACAAAGTGACATAGTGACATGGACGTAACACGAAGTGACGTAGTGTCATAGACTTAACACGAAGTGACATAGTGACATAGACGTAACATGAAATGACGTAGTGACATAGACGTAAAACGAAGTGACATAGTGACATAGATGTAACAGGAAGCGACATAGTTACATAGACGTAACACGAAGTGACATAGTGACATAGATGTAACACGAAGTGACATAGTGACATAGACGTAACACGAAGTGACATAGTGACATAGACGTGACACGAAGTGACATAGTGACATAGATGTAACACGACGTGACATAGTGACATACACGTAACACGAAGTGACATAGTGACATACACGTAACACGAAGTGACATAGTGATATAGACATAACACGAAGTGACATAGTGATATAGACGTAACACGAAGTGACATAGTGTCTTAGACGTAACACGAAGTGACATAGTGATATAGACGTAACACAAAGTGACGTAGTGACATAGACGTAACACAAAGTGACGTAGTGACATAGACGTAACATAAAGTGACATAGTGACATAGACGTAACACGAAGTGACATAGTGATATAGACTTAACACAAAGTGACGTAGTGACATAGACATAACATGAAGTGAGATAGTGACATAGTCGTAACATGAAGTTACATAGTGACATAGACGTAACGCGAAGTGACATAGTGACATAGACGTAACACGAAGTTACATAGTGACAAAGACGTAACATGAAGTGACATAGTGATATAGACGTAACACAAAGTCACATAATGACATAGACGTGACACAAAGAGACATAGTGTTTTAGACGTAACAGGAAGTGACATTGTGATATAGACGTAGCACGAAGTGACATAGTGATATAGACGTAACACGAAGTGACATAGTGACATAGACGTAAAACGAAGTGACATAGTGACATAGATGTAACAGGAAGCGACATAGTTACATAGACGTAACACGAAGTGACATAGTGACATAGATGTAACACGAAGTGACATAGTGACATAGACGTAACACGAAGTGACATAGTGACATAGACGTGACACGAAGTGACATAGTGACATAGATGTAACACGACGTGACATAGTGACATACACGTAACACGAAGTGACATAGTGACATACACGTAACACGAAGTGACATAGTGATATAGACATAACACGAAGTGACATAGTGATATAGACGTAACACGAAGTGACATAGTGTCTTAGACGTAACACGAAGTGACATAGTGATATAGACGTAACACAAAGTGACGTAGTGACATAGACGTAACACAAAGTGACGTAGTGACATAGACGTAACATAAAGTGACATAGTGACATAGACGTAACACGAAGTGACATAGTGATATAGACTTAACACAAAGTGACGTAGTGACATAGACATAACATGAAGTGAGATAGTGACATAGTCGTAACATGAAGTTACATAGTGACATAGACGTAACGCGAAGTGACATAGTGACATAGACGTAACACGAAGTTACATAGTGACAAAGACGTAACATGAAGTGACATAGTGATATAGACGTAACACAAAGTCACATAATGACATAGACGTGACACAAAGAGACATAGTGTTTTAGACGTAACAGGAAGTGACATTGTGATATAGACGTAGCACGAAGTGACATAGTGATATAGACGTAACACGAAGTGACATAGTGCCATAGACGTAACACGAAGTGACATAGTGATATAGACGTAACACGAAGTGACATAGTGATATAGACGTATCGCAAAGTGACATAGTGCCATAAACGTAACACGAAGTGACATAGTGATATAGACATAACACCAAGTGACATAGTGCCATAGACGTAACACGTAGTGACATAGTGTCATAGACGTAACACGAAGTGATATAGTGACATAGATGTAATGCGAAGTGATATAATCACATAGACGTAACACGAAGTGTCATAATGACATAGATGTAACACAAAGTGACATAGTGACATGGACGTAACACGAAGTGACGTAGTGTCATAGACTTAACACGAAGTGACATAGTGACATAGATGTAACATAAAATGACGTAGTGACATAGACGTAAAACGAAGTGACATAGTGACATAGATGTAACAGGAAGCGACATAGTTACATAGACGTAACACGAAGTGACATAGTGACATAGATGTAACACGAAGTGACATAGTGACATAGACGTAACACGAAGTGACATAGTGACATAGACGTGACACGAAGTGACATAGTGACATAGATGTAACACGACGTGACATAGTGACATACACGTAACACGAAGTGACATAGTGACATAGACGTAACACGAAGTGACATAGTGATATAGACATAACACGAAGTGACATAGTGATATAGACGTAACACGAAGTGACATAGTGTCTTAGACGTAACACGAAGTGACATAGTGATATAGACGTAACACAAAGTGACGTAGTGACATAGACGTAACACAAAGTGACGTAGTGACATAGACGTAACATAAAGTGACATAGTGACATAGACGTAACACGAAGTGACATAGTGATATAGACTTAACACAAAGTGACGTAGTGACATAGACATAACATGAAGTGAGATAGTGACATAGTCGTAACATGAAGTTACATAGTGACATAGACGTAACGCGAAGTGACATAGTGACATAGACGTAACACGAAGTTACATAGTGACAAAGACGTAACATGAAGTGACATAGTGATATAGACGTAACACAAAGTCACATAATGACATATACGTGACACAAAGAGACATAGTGTTTTAGACGTAACAGGAAGTGACATAGTGATATAGACGTAGCACGAAGTGACATAGTGATATAGACGTAACACGAAGTGACATAGTGCCATAGACGTAACACGAAGTGACATAGTGATATAGACGTAACACGAAGTGACATAGTGATATAGACGTAACGCAAAGTGACATAGTGCCATAAACGTAACACGAAGTGACATAGTGATATAGACATAACACCAAGTGACATAGTGCCATAGACGTAACACGTAGTGACATAGTGTCATAGACGTAACACGAAGTGATATAGTGACATAGATGTAATGCGAAGTGATATAATCACATAGGCGTAACACGAAGAGTCGTAATGACATAGATTTAACACGAAGTGACAAAGTGGCATGGACATAACACGAAGTGACATAGTGACATAGACGTAACATGAAATGACGTGGTGACATAGACGTAACACGAAGTGACATAGTGACATAGATGTAACACGAAGTGACATAGTGTCATAGAGTTAACACGAAGTTACATAGTGACATAGACGTAACATGAAATGACGTAGTGACACGGACGTAACACGAAGTGGCATAGTGACATAGACGTAACACGAAGTGACATAGTGACATAGACGTAACACGAAGTGACGTAGTGACATAGACGTAACACGAAGCGACATAGTGTCATAGGCGTAACACGATGTGACGTAGTGACATAAACGTAACACGAAGTGACATAGACGTAACGTGACAGATGGTTATGGAGTTGTAACCCATTACCAGGTTCCACAGGTTCATGTCAAATGTGTAATATTCTAAATATGTTTTAGTCTGTTTGTGAAAGTACATACATCTCCATACAGCCCTGAAGCCGGAAGATCCTACTGACACATCTCTTGTAAATTCCACACGAAGTGACATAGTGTTTTAGACTTAAGACGAAGTGACATAGTGCCATCAACGTAACACGAAGTAACATAGTGACGTAGATGTAGCATGAAGTGACATAGTGATATAGACGTAACACGAAGTGATATAGTGATATAGACGTAACACGAAGTGACATAGTGATATAGACGTAACACGAAGTGACATAGTGATATAGACGTAACACGAAGTGACGTAGTGATATATACATAACATAAAGTCACATAGTGACATAGAGGTTACACAAAGTGACATAGTGATATAGACGTAACATGAAGTGACATAGTAATATAGACGTAACACGAATTGACGTAGTGATATAGACGTAACACGAAGTGACATAGTGTCATAGACGTAACACAAAGTGATATAGTGTTTTAGACGTAACACGAAGTGACATAGTGACATAGACGTAACACGAAGTGACATTGTGATATAGGCGTAACACGAAGTGACATAGTGATATACACGTAACACGAAGTGATATAGTGATATAGACGTAACACGAAGTGACATAGTGATATAGACGTAACACGAAGTGACATAGTGACATAGACGTAACACGAAGTGACATAGTGACATAGACGTACCACGAAGTGACATAGTGATATAGACGTTACACGAAGTGACATAGTGATATAGACGTAACACGAAACGACTTAGTGATTTAGACGTAACACGAAGTGACATAGTGATATAGACATTACACGAAGTGACATAGTGATATAGAGGTAACACAAAGTGACATAGTGATATAGACGTAGCACGAAGTGACGCAGTGATATAGACGTAACACGAAGTGACATAGTCATATAGACTGAACACGAAGTGACGTAGTCATATAGACATAACACGAAGTGACATAGTGTCATGGACGTAAGACGAAATGATATAGTGTCCTAGACGTAACACGAAGTGACATAGTGATATAGACGTTACACGAAGTGACGTAGTGATATAGACGTTACACGAAGTGACATAGTGACATAGACGTAACACGAAGTGACAAAGTGTCATAGATGTAACACGAAGTGATATAGTGTCTTAGACATAACACGAAGTGACATAGTGATATAGACGTAACACGAAGCGACATAGTGATTTAGACGTAACACGAAGTGACATAGTGTCTTAGACGTAACACGAAGTGACATAGTGATATAGATGTAACACAAAGTGACGTAGTGACATAGACGTAACACAAAGTGACGTAGTGACATAGACGTAACATAAAGTGACATAGTGACATAGACGTAACACGAAGTGACATAGTGATATAGACTTAACACAAAGTGACGTAGTGACATAGACATAACATGAAGTGAGATAGTGACATAGTCGTAACATGAAGTTACATAGTGACATGGACGTAACGCGAAGTGACATAGTGACATAGACGTAACACGAAGTTACATAGTGACAAAGACGTAACATGAAGTGACATAGTGATATAGACGTAACACAAAGTCACATAATGACATAGACGTGACACAAAGAGACATAGTGTTTTAGACGTAACAGGAAGTGACATAGTGATATAGACGTAGCACGAAGTGACATAGTGATATAGACGTAACACGAAGTGACATAGTGCCATAGACGTAACACGAAGTGACATAGTGATATAGACGTAACACGAAGTGACATAGTGATATAGACGTAACGCAAAGTGACATAGTGCCATAAACGTAACACGAAGTGACATAGTGATATAGACATAACACCAAGTGACATAGTGCCATAGACGTAACACGTAGTGACATAGTGTCATAGACGTAACACGAAGTGATATAGTGACATAGATGTAATGCGAAGTGATATAATCACATAGACGTAACACGAAGTGTCATAATGACATAGATGTAACACAAAGTGACATAGTGACATGGACGTAACACGAAGTGACGTAGTGTCATAGACTTAACACGAAGTGACATAGTGACATAGACGTAACATGAAATGACGTAGTGACATAGACGTAAAACGAAGTGACATAGTGACATAGATGTAACAGGAAGCGACATAGTTACATAGACGTAACACGAAGTGACATAGTGACATAGATGTAACACGAAGTGACATAGTGACATAGACGTAACACGAAGTGACATAGTGACATAGACGTGACACGAAGTGACATAGTGACATAGATGTAACACGACGTGACATAGTGACATACACGTAACACGAAGTGACATAGTGACATAGACGTAACACGAAGTGACATAGTGATATAGACATAACACGAAGTGACATAGTGATATAGACGTAACACGAAGTGACATAGTGTCTTAGACGTAACACGAAGTGACATAGTGATATAGACGTAACACAAAGTGACGTAGTGACATAGACGTAACACAAAGTGACGTAGTGACATAGACGTAACATAAAGTGACATAGTGACATAGACGTAACACGAAGTGACATAGTGATATAGACTTAACACAAAGTGACGTAGTGACATAGACATAACATGAAGTGAGATAGTGACATAGTCGTAACATGAAGTTACATAGTGACATAGACGTAACGCGAAGTGACATAGTGACATAGACGTAACACGAAGTTACATAGTGACAAAGACGTAACATGAAGTGACATAGTGATATAGACGTAACACAAAGTCACATAATGACATATACGTGACACAAAGAGACATAGTGTTTTAGACGTAACAGGAAGTGACATAGTGATATAGACGTAGCACGAAGTGACATAGTGATATAGACGTAACACGAAGTGACATAGTGCCATAGACGTAACACGAAGTGACATAGTGATATAGACGTAACACGAAGTGACATAGTGATATAGACGTAACGCAAAGTGACATAGTGCCATAAACGTAACACGAAGTGACATAGTGATATAGACATAACACCAAGTGACATAGTGCCATAGACGTAACACGTAGTGACATAGTGTCATAGACGTAACACGAAGTGATATAGTGACATAGATGTAATGCAAAGTGATATAATCACATAGGCGTAACACGAAGAGTCGTAATGACATAGATTTAACACGAAGTGACAAAGTGGCATGGACATAACACGAAGTGACATAGTGACATAGACGTAACATGAAATGACGTGGTGACATAGACGTAACACGAAGTGACATAGTGACATAGATGTAACACGAAGTGACATAGTGTCATAGAGTTAACACGAAGTTACATAGTGACATAGACGTAACATGAAATGACGTAGTGACACGGACGTAACACGAAGTGGCATAGTGACATAGACGTAACACGAAGTGACATAGTGACATAGACGTAACACGAAGTGACGTAGTGACATAGACGTAACAAGAAGCGACATAGTGTCATAGGCGTAACACGATGTGACGTAGTGACATAAACGTAACACGAAGTGACATAGACGTAACGTGACAGATGGTTATGGAGTTGTAACCCATTACCAGGTTCCACAGGTTCATGTCAAATGTGTAATATTCTAAATATGTTTTAGTCTGTTTGTGAAAGTACATACATCTCCATACAGCCCTGAAGCCGGAAGATCCTACTGACACATCTCTTGTAAATTCCACACGAAGTGACATAGTGTTTTAGACTTAAGACGAAGTGACATAGTGCCATCAACGTAACACGAAGTAACATAGTGACGTAGATGTAGCACGAAGTGACATAGTGATATAGACGTAACACGAAGTGATATAGTGATATAGACGTAACACGAAGTGACATAGTGATATAGACGTAACACGAAGTGACATAGTGATATAGACGTAACACGAAGTGACGTAGTGATATATACATAACATAAAGTCACATAGTGACATAGAGGTTACACAAAGTGACATAGTGATATAGACGTAACATGAAGTGACATAGTAATATAGACGTAACACGAATTGACGTAGTGATATAGACGTAACACGAAGTGACATAGTGTCATAGACGTAACACAAAGTGATATAGTGTTTTAGACGTAACACGAAGTGACATAGTGACATAGACGTAACACGAAGTGACATTGTGATATAGGCGTAACACGAAGTGACATAGTGATATACACGTAACACGAAGTGATATAGTGATATAGACGTAACACGAAGTGACATAGTGATATAGACGTAACACGAAGTGACATAGTGACATAGACGTAACACGAAGTGACATAGTGACATAGACGTACCACGAAGTGACATAGTGATATAGACGTTACACGAAGTGACATAGTGATATAGACGTAACACGAAACGACTTAGTGATTTAGACGTAACACGAAGTGACATAGTGATATAGACATTACACGAAGTGACATAGTGATATAGAGGTAACACAAAGTGACATAGTGATATAGACGTAGCACGAAGTGACGCAGTGATATAGATGTAACACGAAGTGACATAGTCATATAGACTGAACACGAAGTGACGTAGTCATATAGACATAACACGAAGTGACATAGTGTCATGGACGTAAGACGAAATGATATAGTGTCCTAGACGTAACACGAAGTGACATAGTGATATAGACGTTACACGAAGTGACGTAGTGATATAGACGTTACACGAAGTGACATAGTGACATAGACGTAACACGAAGTGACAAAGTGTCATAGATGTAACACGAAGTGATATAGTGTCTTAGACATAACACGAAGTGACATAGTGATATAGACGTAACACGAAGCGACATAGTGATTTAGACGTAACACGAAGTGACATAGTGTCTTAGACGTAACACGAAGTGACATAGTGATATAGATGTAACACAAAGTGACGTAGTGACATAGACGTAACACAAAGTGACGTAGTGACATAGACGTAACATAAAGTGACATAGTGACATAGACGTAACACGAAGTGACATAGTGATATAGACTTAACACAAAGTGACGTAGTGACATAGACATAACATGAAGTGAGATAGTGACATAGTCGTAACATGAAGTTACATAGTGACATGGACGTAACGCGAAGTGACATAGTGACATAGACGTAACACGAAGTTACATAGTGACAAAGACGTAACATGAAGTGACATAGTGATATAGACGTAACACAAAGTCACATAATGACATAGACGTGACACAAAGAGACATAGTGTTTTAGACGTAACAGGAAGTGACATAGTGATATAGACGTAGCACGAAGTGACATAGTGATATAGACGTAACACGAAGTGACATAGTGCCATAGACGTAACACGAAGTGACATAGTGATATAGACGTAACACGAAGTGACATAGTGACATAGACGTAACACGAAGTGACATTGTGATATAGGCGTAACACGAAGTGACATAGTGATATACACGTAACACGAAGTGATATAGTGATATAGACGTAACACGAAGTGACATAGTGATATAGACGTAACACGAAGTGACATAGTGACATAGACGTAACACGAAGTGACATAGTGACATAGACGTACCACGAAGTGACATAGTGATATAGACGTTACACGAAGTGACATAGTGATATAGACGTAACACGAAACGACTTAGTGATTTAGACGTAACACGAAGTGACATAGTGATATAGACATTACACGAAGTGACATAGTGATATAGAGGTAACACAAAGTGACATAGTGATATAGACGTAGCACGAAGTGACGCAGTGATATAGACGTAACACGAAGTGACATAGTCATATAGACTGAACACGAAGTGACGTAGTCATATAGACATAACACGAAGTGACATAGTGTCATGGACGTAAGACGAAATGATATAGTGTCCTAGACGTAACACGAAGTGACATAGTGATATAGACGTTACACGAAGTGACGTAGTGATATAGACGTTACACGAAGTGACATAGTGACATAGACGTAACACGAAGTGACAAAGTGTCATAGATGTAACACGAAGTGATATAGTGTCTTAGACATAACACGAAGTGACATAGTGATATAGACGTAACACGAAGCGACATAGTGATTTAGACGTAACACGAAGTGACATAGTGTCTTAGACGTAACACGAAGTGACATAGTGATATAGATGTAACACAAAGTGACGTAGTGACATAGACGTAACACAAAGTGACGTAGTGACATAGACGTAACATAAAGTGACATAGTGACATAGACGTAACACGAAGTGACATAGTGATATAGACTTAACACAAAGTGACGTAGTGACATAGACATAACATGAAGTGAGATAGTGACATAGTCGTAACATGAAGTTACATAGTGACATGGACGTAACGCGAAGTGACATAGTGACATAGACGTAACACGAAGTTACATAGTGACAAAGACGTAACATGAAGTGACATAGTGATATAGACGTAACACAAAGTCACATAATGACATAGACGTGACACAAAGAGACATAGTGTTTTAGAGGTAACAGGAAGTGACATAGTGATATAGACGTAGCACGAAGTGACATAGTGATATAGACATAACACGAAGTGACATAGTGCCATAGACGTAACACGAAGTGACATAGTGATATAGACGTAACACGAAGTGACATAGTGATATAGACGTAACGCAAAGTGACATAGTGCCATAAACGTAACACGAAGTGACATAGTGATATAGACATAACACCAAGTGACATAGTGCCATAGACGTAACACGTAGTGACATAGTGTCATAGACGTAACACGAAGTGATATAGTGACATAGATGTAATGCGAAGTGATATAATCACATAGACGTAACACGAAGTGTCGTAATGACATAGATGTAACACAAAGTGACATAGTGACATGGACGTAACACGAAGTGACGTAGTGTCATAGACTTAACACGAAGTGACATAGTGACATAGACGTAATATGAAATGACGTAGTGACATAGACGTAAAACGAAGTGACATAGTGACATAGATGTAACAGGAAGCGACATAGTTACATAGACGTAACACGAAGTGACATAGTGACATAGATGTAACACGAAGTGACATAGTGACATAGACGTAACACGAAGTGACATAGTGACATAGACGTGACACGAAGTGACATAGTGACATAGATGTAACACGACGTGACATAGTGACATACACGTAACACGAAGTGACATAGTGACATAGACGTAACACGAAGTGACATAGTGATATAGACATAACACGAAGTGACATAGTGATATAGACGTAACACGAAGTGACATAGTGTCTTAGACGTAACACGAAGTGACATAGTGATATAGACGTAACACAAAGTGACGTAGTGACATAGACGTAACACAAAGTGACGTAGTGACATAGACGTAACATAAAGTGACATAGTGACATAGACGTAACACGAAGTGACATAGTGATATAGACTTTACACAAAGTGACGTAGTGACATAGACATAACATGAAGTGAGATAGTGACATAGTCGTAACATGAAGTTACATAGTGACATAGACGTAACGCGAAGTGACATAGTGACATAGACGTAACACGAAGTTACATGGTGACAAAGACGTAACATGAAGTGACATAGTGATATAGACGTAACACAAAGTCACATAATGACATAGACGTGACACAAAGAGACATAGTGTTTTAGACGTAACAGGAAGTGACATAGTGATATAGACGTAGCACGAAGTGACATAGTGATATAGACGTAACACGAAGTGACATAGTGCCATAGACGTAACACGAAGTGACATAGTGATATAGACGTAACACGAAGTGACATAGTGATATAGACGTAACGCAAAGTGACATAGTGCCATAAACGTAACACGAAGTGACATAGTGATATAGACATAACACCAAGTGACATAGTGACATAGACGTAACACGTAGTGACATAGTGTCATAGACGTAACACGAAGTGATATAGTGACATAGATGTAATGCGAAGTGATATAATCACATAGGCGTAACACGAAGAGTCGTAATGACATAGATTTAACACGAAGTGAGACAGTGGCATGGACGTAACACGAAGTGACATAGTGACATAGACGTAACATGAAATGACGTGGTGACATAGATGTAACACGAAGCGATATAGTGTCTTAGAGGTAGCACGAAGTGACTTAGTGCCATAAACGTAACACGAAATAACATAGTGACATAGACGTAACACGAAGTGACATAGTGATATAGACGTAACACGAAGTGACATAGTGATATAGACGTAACATGAAATGACGTGGTGACATAGACATAACACGAAGTGACATAGTGACATAGATGTAACACGAAGTGACATAGTGTCATAGAGTTAACACGAAGTTACATAGTGACATAGACGTAACATGAAATGACGTAGTGACACGGACGTAACACGAAGTGGCATAGTGACATAGATGTAACACGAAGTGACATAGTGACATAGACGTAACACAAAGTGACGTAGTGACATAGACGTAACACGAAGCGACATAGTGTCATAGGCGTAACACGATGTGACGTAGTGACATAAACGTAACACGAAGTGACATAGACGTAACGTGACAGATGGTTATGGAGTTGTAACCCATTACCAGGTTCCACAGGTTCATGTCAAATGTGTAATATTCTAAATATGTTTTAGTCTGTTTGTGAAAGTACATACATCTCCATACAGCCCTGAAGCCGGAAGATC